GAAAACTTTCCAATTTAACCATATGTTCACTTCTGCATTTCTCATTTCCCATCTCTAGAAAACTCAGAGCAATGTTTCTTAGCTGTCTGATGTAGCCTATCTAAAGGCTAAGTGCCTATGGACGTTCTCGGTCATCCAGGTCATGGTTGTCCCAACAGTGTTTTTTTCAAGAGGCAACTGGACTTTCTGATTTTTTTTTTCTTTGAAGACCTTTCACTTCTCATCCAAGAAGCTTCTTCAGCTCTGTCGCTTCTTGGGTGAGAAGTGAAACAACTTCAAAAAAAAAAAAAAACCCAGAAAATCCAATTGCCTCTTGAAAAAAGCACTTTTGGGGACTATCTCAATCAGGGGTGTCAAACTCGATTTCATTGAGGGCCACATCGGGGTTGTGTTTGACCTCGGGGGGGCTAGGGTGGAGTGTGGCCAGCGTGATGTCACTCATGTTGGGGGCGCACTGTGGCAGCCTGAGCTCTCTGCCAGTGAAAATGGGCTCCTTAACATTTTCGTCTGCGATGACCTCCTGAAACTCTCTGCCAGCAAAAACAGAACTTGGGGTGGGGAGTGGGCATGCACAGCCCTCACAAATTTTGTTTTCCGCTGCAATGGCCTCCTGCATCCCTAACCCTCTGCCAGTGAAAACTGGGCTTGTGTGGCCCTTGCTATCTCCATTTTCACTGGCTGAGGCACCATGGGATGGTCTCTCACTCTTTCCAGGGCAGCCCCATGGGCCAGATCTAAGCACCTCCCCTCCCCCGGGTCACATCCGGGCCCCAGGTCTTCAGTTTGACACCCCTGTTTCTTTTATGGGAAATATCTGTCTCTCTTCTATGCTTTACCTCATCCTCAACCACCAATAACGAGCTCTTAATACATTCAGGAAAAGGCACCGTATTTCTTTTACCCCAATTCCTTCCCTTCACACAATTGCATTACATCTGTCTGAAATTTGCCAGAAAAATCTCCCCTGACAGGATCCACTTTTTTTTACTGCAAACTTCATTACATTCAGCCTGTATGAAAATCCCTTCTTTTAAATAAAACCAGAATCTAAGGGAATATTGTAATCTGCTGCACCAAATGTCTGCGAGTTTTGCCTGCTTTATTCCTAAATTGCTATAAATCTCCTGTAAATTACATCTTATTCTACTGAAAAACAGCCACAAAAAATTACCAGCATTGAAAGGCAATACTTCAAAAGCAACTATATTGGTTTGTCTGAAATTCAGCATGCCATGATATTCTAATAAGTCTGGAAAATGCAATTTGTAAAGAGAAGGAAAAGGAGATTATTTATATTTTTCACCCTACACTAACTGGATAGCACGAACACTTAGACTTACATACTGCTTCATGGTGCTTCATAACCATCTCTACAGAGTCAGCACATTGCCTCTGACAATCTGGGCTTTCATTTTACCGACCTTGCAAGGATCAAAGGTTGAGTCAAGCTTGAGCCAATCAGAATCGAACTGCTGGCAGTGAGCAGTGTGTTAGCCTGCAATACTGCATTCTAACCACTGTGCCACCGTGGTTCTTAATAAGAAAGTGGATCTTCTGAGAGACTAACACAAAACTGGACTAAGGCATTTACAAACTGGGGTCTGCTGCCTGACATTGATTAGATGGTCTCTGGCCAGTCATGGATTTGATGCTGGTGAGTAGAGTAGAGTAGAGTAGAGTAGAGTAGAGTAGAGTAGAGTAGAGTAGAGTAGAGTAGAGTAG